TTTTTTTTTTTTTAAAAATCAGCTGCTGTGTGTCTGCAGGGTATTTATTAGTTTTCCCACACATGCTTTCAGGCCAGTTAGTTTCCCAAAGACAAATGGAAAATAAAGCCCTGTGTATCTCCTGACGATGGTCTTTATTTCTGCATCCTTATGTAGAAATCTGTGCAAAATAAAGTTCACTTTTATAAACCTGCCAGCTCCAGCTAAGCTCTAAAGGGGCAATAGTAGGTTTCCACTGGTGTAGTCTGACTAAATAACACCCCTAGAGATCACAAGAAGAATTGTCATGTCTAAAATATAGATTTATAAATCAAAGACCAGCTAAAACGTTTTCATAGTAATAAACAGAAAGAAAGAAGAAAGGAAAAGCCCAAACAAGTCATAGGCATACAACGCACCAACACTATATGGTGCTAGTGATACCTATATGTAATGAAATTCACTCAATTTAACAAAAATTGAAACCTTTATTTCAGATTTCATTTTTTACAAAAAACAACGAACAGTTAAGTGCACCTTGGAATGCTCGTTGGTAAATGGACCCAGAGTGTCGTCATGATTGCTCGATGTTAATGCTCTTCTGGTGCTTTAAGACGGCAGCCACAGACACCGAATGACCCCGAAGCCCCTTCTCCAGGACCAGGGCTGTTAGTGATAAACAAGGTGGCCTGCACGATTCGCCCCTTCCCAACACCCCCACCCCCCCACCAGTCCTGTTTTTTGTTCTTCCCACAAGCAGCACTCTACTCCTTGGCCACTGCGAATGGCTTCTCCACCTCGATTTTGCCACAATCGTGGATGCTGACGTCTTTAAGAGGCTTATCGCGGCCATCTGTCTTTGTGGCCTCAATCTTCTTCACCACATCCTGGAAGATGTTTGGAAAAAGGTTAATTAGAATGGCAATTATAACATGAACAAATCTACACCTTTGGTAACCATAATGTATTATAGTGGTAATCTTTGTCAACCTCAGTGGTGGAAGATCAGATCCTCTACTTGAGTAAAAGTAGCAGTACCACAGTGTAAGAATGCTCGATTACCACTTTTATTGGGGTAAATAACATCATTAAAATGAACTCATTCTGCAGTCTTAGGTTGTTGTAAGGTTGCCAGGAAATCCGTGTCTACTTTAGTCTGAAATTCCGCTGCTATTTTTGGCCTTTAAACAGATACTATAGGTGTCAGTTGGTGGCTAACTAGATATAACAGATGAGCGTTTAGATAACACACTATGTATTTAGTTGTTCACCCGCATTCAGTGGTTTTAACTTCCCCAGATGTGTCCAAGATGCCGTGTGCCATGAATGTGCTAACTATCAGGCCTGACACTCACCATCCCCTCCAGAATTTTCCCAAAGACGACGTGTTTGCCGTCCAGCCATGGAGTCTGAACGGTAGTGATGAAGAACTGAGAGCCGTTGGTGTCTTTGCCGGCGTTAGCCATGCTGAGCCAGCCAGGACCGTAGTGCTTCAGCTTGAAGTTCTCATCGGGGAAACGGTCTCCATAGATGCTCTTGCCTTCATTTAAAAAAGGAAAATATTTGAATTGTGCCCTTTAAATCTGTACAAGTAAATCAGTTGATGTTTGGTACTCTGTAGAGACCTTCGCATCTCACTTGGATGACTTGACTGCTGCAAAATGTTTATTTTCACTTTATCGGATGACATTTTCATATTCATAATTAACTGAACAGCTTGCTGTGACTCATTCTGAAGGAGAGCTTCTGCCAAAATGGCAAAGTGGCACTTGGCCAAAGGCACAAAGTTTCACTTTTGATGCCTTGGGCTATAATTTCTTTTAAACAATAGAAGCCTCGTCAATCATAAAGAGCATAAAACACTCAGCAGGTTGTTGGAAATCTTCTGAATTATATAGCAACATGGAAAACAAGTAGACTCTGGAATTTAGCCATTTTCCTTTAGTTTGCACAGTTGAACTGCTGAACCCTAAAGTTCCCATACCAGAAAAGACCCCGAAGTCATGTTCAGGACAGCACAGCAGGTGCAGAGAGTCATGGGCAAGTTTGTTCCTGTAGAGACAAATCTATGCAAATCTGTGCACTGATAGAAATGCCATCCTGCTGGTGTCGGTGGCCATCTTACCTCCAGTGCCGTCTCCTCTGGTGAAGTCTCCACCCTGGATCATGAACTCCTTGATGACTCTGTGGAATTTGCTGCCCTTGTAACCAAATCCTTTCTGTTTATGAAGAACAAACAAAACAATTAAGATAATCCAATGCCTGAAAAATAGTGAAAGGATATCAGCTGCCAGTATTTGACATTTTAGAACATGTGAATGAGAGTCCAATGACTTATTAAAGTGTCTCCAGGATTGGGAATTTTTTTTTTTTAGTTTGGAAAGTTTCACTGAGGGGAAGTCTTGAATACATTGGCACAATTACACACACACACACACCACACACACACACAGTCTGATCTGCTGCCACTGGGCAGGACACCTCGGTGGCTGTAACGAGGGAGGGGGAGGCACTACTTTTTCCATTTTCCCCACCCGACATGTCGGTTTGAGGTTTGGTAAAGTAAACGAGGATGCTGACCCCAAATGAAAAGTATGCAACACAGCTTATTTCACATACCTACCAAACTCTGATACCTTTTCTTTGCTGTATTACTGTATATAAACAAAGGGCTGATTCTTTGAATGTGTATCAGTCATGTTTATGTCTGCTTCAACTATCCCCCCCCCCATTTAATTGAATTTAAACATGAATTTGGTCATTGCCAGACAAAATCACTGCAGACTGCTGCGCTGATTTACAATCAGGACAGACTTTGGGAACACAATATGAACTGTGATGTTCTCACCTCTCCCGTCGCCAAAGCAACAAAGTTATCAACTGTTTTGGGAACGGTTTTCCCAAATACGCCGATGACGATTCTTCCAACATCTTCATCTCCAATTCTTATGTCAAAGAACACCTAGAAAAGAAGTGAAGACACAACATTACTTATTTTATACTTATAAACTCATTATTTACTGATATTTGGAAAAAAGAATGGATGAGCTGGCTCGGGATGTTTCAGTGGTTGACAGCTTATAGGCAAATACATGGTGCATTCATTACACGGTTTTATAGAGTGCTCATTTAATAATGTAAAAAGGTTAGGTACTCCACAAGATTTCACTCATTCATTGAAAATTTCAAACCAGTCTACCTTTGTTGGGGGGTTTGCATGCAACCATTTCCTTGTGATGGCCGTCACTCTGACAAGAGCCAAAAGTATTTCAAAAAGAGATATTCATTCCTTGAAGTTTATTCAGTATTTAGCCCTGTTGTAAAACCACAGGAGAGCAAATTCAAATGCTATTCTTGTATTTTCTATTCTATGCCATTTTGCCAATATGATAAAATTACAGGAAACAAATATCTTTTCAATTAAAAAGTTGTTTTCCCCCCCAACAATTGTTGATTCTTGTGACTAACTCACAACTTGCAGTACAAAAAAATAAAAAAATAAAAATAATAGATTTGTGGTGTAAAACAGTTTTTAATAGAAAAGCATTTCTAAAGAGAGATGAGGTTGTTCGGTCTACAATATGTGTTGCAAGTGAAGAAGAGCACATTGAGTTTGAAGCAGAGCCATCAGCTGCTGACCACTACAAAGCGTCCTTGTAACTGTGGACGTGGACAAACTGCTGCACCCAGACACAACAATAACATCCGCAGGGCCTCACTGAGCTGCAGACAGGCGGCTCCACTAAAGGGAAACTTACTGACCTATATACTTAAATGGACGTGGAGCCCTTGATAATCGGTGCATTTGATAACACCGACAGCTAACCAAGAGGCCGAAGCACAGCCTACCACAGCTAACATTAGCCCCACTGAGATTAGCCAGCAGCAAAGGTCCTTTCATTAGACTGTCTGTCCGGGTCACCAGCGGGAACACTGCGTTACACACACCGAGCACCGGGACTGGAAACGTCCTCACTCACCACACAGACACAGACACAGACACAGACTAACGTTAGCCACATTAGCTTCCCGGCTAACTACCCTCCGTGTGACGTGGCTCTACAGTCTGCAGCTAGCGCTAGTTAGCACTGAGGAGGAGCTCTGTTTAATACTGGATCCAGCAGCGAGGGAGCTAGCGCTAGCACATACCTTCGCTGTTACTTTGGGGCCCTTCTTCTTCTCGTCGGCGGAGGAGCCATTTGGGAACGCGAGGAAAATCACTGACCCCACAATGACTGTGACAGCTACAAGGAATTTCATCCTTCTCTCGCAGAGTCTAACCATCAACAAGAAACAAGGGCAGCCCGGGGACGGCCTGTTAGTCGTGCTACCTTTATATGAGCCGGGGCAGGAGTGCGGTATCCGGGGTGGAGACTGCAGCCGGGCCGCTCCGGTACCAGAGCCAGCTGCCTCCACGACACAGGGGGCGGGCTTTCAACGCGGCGCACAGACGCACGGCGCTCTGATTGGTTCACGTACTGGTGTGTTGTAGCCAATCAGATGCAGACGCGTAACACCGTTTTCCCCCCCATGTGTTTCTATCTGGGAAAGGCCCGACAGACAGACTGATGTCAGGATTGGGGGGTGGGGGCACAAAGGTTTACCATGCCACCATAAATC